TGAGTGTGGAGCACTCATCATACTTCTTTAATAATTTCTTATAGAGTTTCTTAGTGTAATAAGTTAAGTAATAGATGATTAATTTCAAAAGTTGGTAAGTACTAGCAAAACTTTAAAATATTTTATTTCTATAACTTTTAACTTATATTTACCTTTTTAATGTAGATTTGAAGGCTTAAAGCAAAGTAATCAATGTGATGGAATCACCGATGTTTTAGCCTTGTTATTTACTTTTTGGTAATTTGTATACATTGGTGAATGAATCTTATTAGACAACTATTGTATATTTTTAAATTGGAATATGTTATTTTATAAGAGTTAAGATTGAACATGTAATTGATTGGATTAATGTAGTGTTGTTGTAAATATTAAAAAATTTAATTATGGCAAGAACCGAAACGAATTGAACAGAATTGATCCAATTCAGTTTCATAATTAAATTTGGATATGGAGATATCACTTACTAAATACCCAAACTTTTTGATTCGATTTAGCCCTAATTATGAGTGAAATCTTCTACATTTTTTTTGTTTCTTGATAGAACTGATCGACAAATAGAGAGACGAATTTGTGGGAACTCGGGCGTCTTGTACTATATTTTTGTTCTTGTTTGTATCCAGTGATGAACAGCGGGATGTGGATGCCATAGCGTGATTCAAAGATCGATTGGAAGAAGAAGAGATTTCAGAAATGAAAGATTTCTGATACACGATGATGAAAACTTCAAATTGTGTTGTGCTGAGGTTTATATTTATTCGAAACAATCTCTAAAATGCAAAAATTGGAGTTTACGGAATGCATTTTCTCACCTAATTTGTGGAGAAAAAGGGAGAATGTCGTATCAAGAATGTCAAACAGGAATTCGTGTTGATATTTTGAGATCGATTTATGGATTTTTGAATATTGAAGAATAGAGAAATTGGGGTTTTGTTAATTTTTGGTATAATGGTAAAGGGGCAAATTGGGGATTACAAGCGTGATTCTGGGTGAGATTCATAATTTTATGAAATTCTTTACAGTATTTTCTGAACTCATTCGAGTACAACATATTAAAATTTTAGAATTTTATAATATCATTTAGGCACTCAAATAGACACTAAAAAAAGAAAAAGAAAAAAGAGTACACTGAACACAACACATGGAAAATGGCATAACTGATCCTATCAACATTCAATTGACTTGATTCTAAATCCAACGAACATAGGACTCAGGGATTTCAAACCCCACTAATCTTGTCGAAAAATTCAAATAATTCTATCCGGGATGAATGGATGATGGGACAAAGTTTAGGCTTTAAGCAGAAAATTTTTGTTTACAAGTCTAACGTTTAATCTTAACTTTTTTAGCAACTTTAATTATATACATACTTAAACTATATAACAATTTAAATGTCCACATCAAGAAAAAGAACTTGGAAATCTTAAAGAAGGATAAACTAATATCTTTTAGAATTAAACATAAGTTGCATAACGAGTAATAAGTAGAAACTCTTCAAATGTAACTAATTACACAAATGAAGCACATTTCTCCCTTCGGACCCTCTGCAATCCATGTAAATCCCACTTCTTAGACCATCCTTTAATCTAAAAAGTTTGTCAACGTAGAAGGTGTAAGCTGTAGGACTAATATCACATGGTGCACTCTTTTGGTTATAAACATATATACATATATAAAAAGTGACAAGAAAGAATTTAACATTTCATGTGGATGAATGCCGAGAAATTCATGATTCCGAAGAATACCTTGGAGTCGTAAAAATCGGTTATGGCCATACATAAACTTCTTTGTTCATATAACTTCAAAAAGTTCTAACACACACACACACACACACAAGCATACATATATATACACTAGTTAAGTTGAACGTGCATTGCACGTTATTCAGAAATACTTTATAAATGTTGTAAAAGTAATATTTGATACCAACTTGTTGGGAGGATTTGATGAGTATCAAACGATTTAAAGAAAATAAAATTTAAATAAAAATTTAAGAGAAAAAATTGTACTCTCAAAACTCAACTTCTATGATTCAAATTTTTTGTGACGATTAAATACTACAAATGAGCAACATTTTTATACTACATTTGGTATATAACAATT